TTCATTTATCATTGGCGGGACAGCCGCCCAGAGCCAAGAGCTAAGAGCCGAGAGATTTACCTTTTGTTTTAATCTTTAATTGCATTTCTTGGCAGGCCTTAATTTACTTGTTGCCAAATTGAAATTTGGGCCAATAAAGATAAGCCGTGTGCAATATTTTTGTGGCTTGGAGGTGGACTTGGATGTGGGCAGTGGGGCTTATGTTATGTTATTCTGATTTTAATTGCGAGTAAGCCGAAGCCAAAGCTGAAGTTAATTTGATGGGTGGGTGGGGGTGTGTTTATGATATGGGCATGGATTGGATTTTTATCAAAATTGGTTCATAAATTATTATTTGCCATTAATTGAAAAAAGCCAGAGATTGTAGACGGAAGGCTGGCTTGTGTTTGATGCATTTTGTAGCTGAATATTCATGGAATATTCACGTCGAGCGAAGAAGCGAGAATCGCAAAAACAACATATATGGCCTGTGCATGACGGGGCTCCAGAGTTCAAAAAGCCCCTCCGTAGATCCATAGATCACAATACACAGTGAGGGAAAAGTTTATTTCATACCGCCATTCGTTGCACTTGACCCCCTTGCCACTTCTAAGTGGCGCATCCATTCATGCCCCACCCCGCCCTCTGCTCTGTCTGGAGCCCAGCACATAAATGTCAAAGGGGCGGGCCACCTGAACATAGTTTGCGGCATTTAATAAACAATTTTCCAGCAATTTAAGTTTATTAGCGACCCATAACTAACTCGAAAAACGTCAGCCTTTTTGCTCATTTGCATATGGCATTCTCAAGTAGTCGAGCGCTTAAAAAACATACTAAATCTGAGAGATATTTAGGTAGTCGTGTGCACAGTGTCTTTCAGTGGCTCAACTTGGGGGCAATTAGCGACAGTTCGAGGTGGCCTTTGCAGGGGCCTCGGGCCTCGGCCGTCGGGGCACAGCCTTCCGAAGGGGAAAGAGAACTCTACTCTTTCAGAGTTAATTAGAGTTCTGTTCTCTTCTGATTCTCGGCCACAGAGAATATTGATAGATTGCCAGTTGCCGTGTTAATTAGAGGGCCTTTTGTAAGGCGCCACCTGATGGCCCGAGGTGTCGGAGCGCTGCCTGTTTTGTTGCAATCGAACACGGAGTCGGCGTCGGCGGCTAGTTGGACAGCGGATTATGATAGTAAATGATATGCCGGCCATGTGCATTTACGCCTGATTGCAGTTATTGTTATGGCCCGGCCAATTAAGGCAATGATTGTTAAGTGAGCGAAAGTCGATGTGGATATGCGGTGTACGGTTTACGGTTTACGGTTTACGGCTTACGGTATCAATGCCTATCTAATATACTCGTGGGCTAAGATCGTTCCTGGCCAAGGAGTGTCGCTTTGGCTGAACGATTATGTACCTTGTATTCCACTTCCTGTGTCGGACACACCTTCGCCTTGTGGCAGCCCATGAATATTCCACAAACACCTCGCTAAATCACGGCCAATCGAAAGTCCAGTGAATAATTGCACAGCGGGCAGCAGAAAACACACACAGAGAGGGGGCTCTCGTCTCACAATCGGAATCGGTTCGGAATGGAAGATCCAGTGCCCAGAGACAGGTGTCACACATAAATCTCTTGCGAAATCAGAGGCAGTGGCGGGGGGCAGAGGCGGGGGGCACAGGCACAAGCAGAGCTAATGATACACGGCAACTGCCACACATTCAATCGAATACCAATTACAATGTTTGACATTCCGCAGAGTCAAAGATATATCCACAAAGGTGCGCGCTGCTCCATTTGATTGATTGCCTGGCGGTTGTATTTTCGATTTAGTGGCTTGCATTTTTTTTTTTGTCGTCTTTTACTAATCATTAATACGTGATGCTATCGAAATTGTGGATAATTAACGCCATATTTGTTGCCAGCAATGGACAATTAGACGAGGCACAGACCAAAACATGCCAAAACTAAACGAAAAAAAAGAGCCAAAAAGCCATACAAAAATAAATTGCATGCGCGATAAAAATCGCATTCGCGTTTGCGTTTGCGTTCGCGTTCGCGTTTTTCCTAATGGCTGCAAAAACGCGCTTGAGTCGCGCGCAAGCCGCTCGGCTCTGTATATGGGGTTTTTTCTAATGCAAACTATTTCAAATTTGAATCACAGACATTTTCCGACTTGATTTGTCGCCTGTGCATGTCAATCACAAGCATTGATTGAGTATTTCTTGTGGTGCAGCTCATAACACGATTTCCAAACGATAATTAGACGGAGACCCCAGCTGCCTGCCACTTGATCTAATGACAGTTCTTAGAGGCAGGGGCCGGGGAACGGGTAGGGGCACCCCACCATGCTCCACATGCTTACAACTCCAGTCAGCAATTGCCTAAACGACTTCTGGTTTGTCTTAGACTCAGATAGAGATACGTTATGTAAAGTGCTACCAGCCAAAGCAGCCAACTATCTAAGTATCTGCACAGATGGCTATCCACGAGGCAGGCCGTTCGATCGGGGTTTCATTGCTGACACACTTCCGACACACGGCCAAGCCGAGCCATAACCATATCGATATATACTCGAATATCTAGGCAGAGAAATGGAAAAGCCTGCCACTTGAGGCTGCTGCTGCCGCCGCGGCTGCTGCTCCAATTGTCGCTTCTTGGTCAAGAGACAGAGACAGAGACAGCTCATTGAGTGCTGGTCAGTGGACAGAGACAGCCCATAAACTCAATTCGTTTCAATTGAACAGCTTTTTCCGGGGCGCATCATCAACGCAAACTCAACGCAAACCGAACTCATCTCGGGATCAAATCAAAACGTTTCGAATCATATTAATCAGAGAGCTCTCTGATGATTGTAAAAGGAAACTTTCTTTCTTTGGCAGTTTGGTGGAATTTTCAAAGGCATGGCCATCGTCGACTTGTTTGTATTTGACTTAATGGCACTTAGGTGTCGGTCGGGCATTTTATGATCACAGATATTTATATGGTGTCTGCTCTGTGGATCTGGTCTGTGGTCTGTGGTCTGCCGTTGATTAAATCAGAGACTCTCGACAAATTGTGGGGAAAACGAAACAAATGTCGGCATTGTTTCCCACTTCTTTAAACTCTGGGCAGTCTTCAGCTAAGAAAATACTCTCATATTAAAGAAAGGAGTGAAGGAATAAGTCTCCTGCTCATCCTATGTCGCTCAGCCTCTTCTTTGCGCATCAGCTTTCCACAAATCTTTCTTCAGCTTCTCTCCTGCAACTTTCGCATCAAATTCAAATCAAATCTTTTGACAATAATTAGAAATCAATTTACACGTCGGATTGGGATTGGGATTGGGAATGGGATTTGGATCTGGCTCTGAGAGAGCTCCATTGTTTGTCTAAGGCTCCTTTTTGACTGTCAGCTCAGAGTCCGAGTCGAGTCGAGTCGCCTCGAGTCGCCTCGAGTCGAGTCCGCGGGGCCACCAAAATGGGTAAAAGCAACAGCAAAATTTACATTCATGTCCATGTCATGTGTCCGAGAGACTTGTGGCACGTTTATGTTTGCTTATGCGCGAGTATTTAACTCTTAAGTGAAATCCCATGTCACGTGTCAGAGAGCGGGACGACGGACCGCAGTACAACGCCGAAAAACTGAGACTGAAAACTGAAATCAATTGAGAATCGCTATGATTGCTTCATAAATACTCGTACGAGTACTCGTACACTCGCACACTCGTATGCTGTGAGCTGAAATGAAGTAAAGTAAGGATTTGAATTGGTTAGAAAGCAGAAGACCCAAGCGCCCCAAGCCCCCAGGCGACAGGCGACAGGCAGCCGCCTGACTGACCCAGATTCCAGATTACCTCCCTCCGTCTGCGGCTCCCATCTTCCAGCCCAGCTCCTTCTGCCTACCCAACTTCATCTTCTGGTGGAAAACAAACTGTCAGTTTAACCATTTGACAGTCGCTTGCAGATACACAAGCCAAGATATGAGATACGGGTACGGGCCTCTCGAGTATCTCCAGCTACTTACTGCTGCCGCTGACGCTGCTGCCGCCGCTGCATCCTGCCAGACAAGATACATATCTGGCACTGGCGATCTGCTCTAGCAGATCTCCTCCGACTCCGACTCCAACTCCGACTCCGACTCCGACTCCGACTCCGACTCCTCCTCCTCCTCCATCTTCGATCTTTTCCTCCTTTTGTGGGGCTCCCAGCGGCGCCCGACAATTGAAACTTTTGCGCCGTTTTGGCGTATTTAAAGTGACATTTGCTGACAGTCTGACGGCGATGATCCGTCGAGGTGGAGGGATCTCAGATCTCCGATACAGCCCGTGACTAGAGTCGCTGCTCGTTGGATGGTTGGATGGTCCGTGCAGGAAGGTTCGTTGTTGGGTTTCAATCAAATTAAATTAATTAAGAGGAGATTGGAGCCGGTAATTGTTTTGTAGATCTCAAAAAAACACCACAAAATAGCGAGGGTTACATCGAGAGTTACCCAAGGCGGCCTTTGGGATCCGAGCAATAATAGTTATAAGAACTATTGGCTCTTCCATACCACCCAGAACCCAGACAGAACTAAACTTTTATTGCCACTCAGCATCTTTTGGGCACAATCTTCGAGCATAAAACAAATTGCTTCACACTCTCTCTGGAGGCTCTGATTAAAAGAAAATCAAAGCGTTTTACGATCGCCTACGTTCCCCGTGCTCTCCCCCGTGCATTGGGGGATGGTAAGATGGTAATGGGAACCGGTAACTTCTTTGTTATGATAACCCGAAAATGATATACAAAAGACTGAGGCGCTAAGCACTGAAAAGATGAACGGAAATGGGAAAAGTCGTTTCAGACAGTTAGAAAAAAACCAAGAAGAGTTTTCTTTCATTTCATTTTCTTTTCTTTGTAGATTTCTTTTCCATGGAGCCTCCTTTCTATCCACTGCAGCAGAGTGGAGCATAAGGCATAATCAAGTGGCCATTAAAGCATACACTAGAAACGTTACCCTCCTCCTTTCCCCTACAGGGGGAGAGGGGGAGAGTATCTTTGAGTACGCACTCACCTGCATATAGCGGGCCAGGGCCGCGTTCCTCTGCGCATGCGATCTCAGCTGCGGCTGCGGCGATCCCAGCGGACTCACGATGGTGGATGTGGAGCCACCGATACCCGTATCGTAGCCCTGAGCGTTGGCGCCATCGACATCTGTGTGTGTGTGTGGTGGCACAATGAAAAGACAAAGAAGGAAACAAGTACAAAATGAGAATGCGAGTCATTAAGTCGAAGAGTGTTTGCCTAAGAAAACTGCAAGCTGCCACTAAAAGTGGCACATGCCTGAGAGCTCGACGGAAGACGGAATGTATCCCATGATAGAGGTCATGAACTATGGTAAGCTTTGATAAAGGAAAACTTGACCTATGAATAAAGCAATTCGCAACAGTCGTCGCCCCTTTGGTCGCATCTCAATTGAGACGCCCAATTATCCCGTCTAAGCACCGTAACCCCTGCCACTGATTGGAGCCCCAGCTGTATCGGCACCTAATTAGGTATGCTAATTAAGTAGAGCTGCCCTGATCGGCACAAAGCACTCATAAATAAAGAGCAGCCGCGGCCAAGCCGCTGACCAGGTCGTAAATTCTCGCCGCCCGAGAGACCCAGAGGCCCAGAGCGGCTTAGAGCTACTAGTGACATGATCGTGTACGACGGAACAGCCAATAAATCCAGTGGCAAGTGGCAAGTGGCAAGTGGCATACAGGCATAGAGCCCCATGGAAACGTGTCAGCACTTGGCTAAAGACGGACATAACTTTCGGTTTTCATGGGCTCGTACCACGGGGTAGGAGTTTTTCCACGTCTGGGACTCGTGTGTCGCTCACTTTTATGAAGTTAACCGACGAAACGAAACGATATCTGCATGCCAAGCAATTTCTACACACAATTGGCATATTAATTCCACAGAAATAAAACAGAAATAATACAGAAATAAGAAGGGATACGAGTATCGGACGATCCGATCCACTGACTGACTGAAATGGTCTTGAACAGGTATTTGAGTGCACTGCAAAAAAGGGAACTTGGGAACTTGGAACAACTGAAAGTCGAAATCTAACGAAAGTCCCTCCACATCCATTGGAATTGGAATTTCCTTGGCATTTGCCAGTCGCTTGTAACCGAATATCTGCTCAGCCTCATATGGAGTATCCACAAGATACATGTGCGATAAGCAGCAACGGCATAGCTTTAGACACTACTCACCTTTCAGCGAGCTGTTCATGCACATGGGGCACTGATCGTTGCGGAACATGCAGGAATAGCAGCGCTCGTGGCCGCAGGTGTCGATCAGTTTCCGTCGCTTGCCCTTGTCGAAGGAGATGCGGCAGGAGGGGCACACAGAGCCGCTGGCATCGTGTTCCAGCAGACGTCGTATGGACTGGAGATCTGCAAGTGGAAAGATATCGAGTGTAAGTGTAAATGTCTTCAAGGAACGGGGCTAAAAGCTTGCGTTAATGGGGAAATTAAGTACTAGAAGGGTTCCACAGGCAGGTGATATTTCAAGTAAATAATTCCAGGAATTAAGGAATAAACTAGGGGATAGTTTCGTTTCACCCGAAAATAGATGGATCTGGCGAAATAGAGACAGTATCCTGCCCGTTCTGCCACAAGAACGATCGATCTGCGTTGTTATATTCCATCTGGTCTTCGATTTATCTTATTATCTTGAAACATTTATCAACAATTTCAACGATTCAGATTCTGGGGCAAAGATTTGACTGCCATTTACTCCTCGACGGCTGCGATCTTGGGAGCTTGCAGCCGAATCCGAGTCCGAATGCAAAAGCAAACCCCAAATGCACAAATCTCAAAGTGCACTTGTTTTATGGCCACCGTTTGCATAAATTGCCGCTCTGTCAATTAAATCGCCGGTTTGTGCAACTGTCAATTGTCTGGGACTCGGATTCGGATTCGGAATCAACCGCGGACTCCGACTCCGATTCGGCCCAATCCTACGATACAGCAAAAAGAAATATTCGTCTCTCCATATTGTTTCTTTGGCTCTGTTTTTGTTTGTTGATCGTTTGTTTGGGTCTTTAGGCTTTTTGCTTTTTGCTTTTAGCAACCATTCAATCCAATGCCAGGAGGCAGCAATCAGCGGCATTCTTTGCTGCGGCTGCTGCGCTTTAATTGATTTAATCTGCGCCTGGTTTATTATTTCTATTAGCACTTTGTCTTTCTGTGCCGATATAATGTACGAGTGCGAGTGCGAGTGCTAGTACGATTACGTGTATGTATGTAAAAGTGCTTGCCACTTGCCGCTTGCCGCTTGCCACCAATCGTCAGCATTTTGGTGGCCGGCTGGAACGGAAGTCTTGTTATTGTTTAAACAATATTTAAACGAAAGAACTGCTGACTGCCGTCGATGGAGAATTGGGGGACTGAATGCCTACTCGTCAAAAATACTCGTAGAACCCCAGGACAGTGGAGACCTTTTCTATCTTCCTTCCCAGCACTTGACAGATGGTTCTGTTCCTCCTTTTTTTCTGTTTGTTGTGTTGCAAGCACTTTGTGGCTTTTGAAAAAAGTTTACCTCCTGCCTTTGTCATTCCCTGTTTTTTTTTTTCAATTGCATTCTGTACCCCAATTACGAGTATGTGTGCAATGCGAGAACGTCAGTTGCAGTTGCTGTTGCTGCTCCATCCACAAGACAAACCCCAACCCCAATGCTCATTCCATTCATTTTGCCACCCCTGAAGCGTCATTTGGTTGCTGTTTCTGCTGTTGCATCGGTGGCATCTGCTGTTGCGCCTGCGCACACGACACACCACACCACACCATGCCACACCACGCCATGCCGGTGGCAATCGCCGTTGACATTTCTGCAAATGCAAATTGTGCTTCTTTCTGCCTAGGCAAATGTCAGGCGGGCAGCACTTGTTGAACAGAACTCGAACCCCAAACAGTTGTTCATAAATTGTGCCATGTGCTGCTTCTGCCTGCCTGCCCCTTTCCTTCCTGGAGCGGTTAACGATTTGCATGGTCAGTGCCCATTCCATTCCATTCCACTCCACTCCATTCCACTCCATTCCATGCCCAGAAAGGCCGACTTTTTGCCAGTGAAGTTCAAAGATAAGCAAGGTACGCGGTACGAGTAGGGTATGCCATTCCATGTGGGTTGTTGGATTACCCGCCAAACTCCAGACGTGCCAGCTGTGGCTCTGTGGCGGCCCACGCCACTCGCAGAGCGGGAGGGACGGAGGGTGAGAGAGGGGGGGAAATTTATCCAAACTGTGGTTTTTGATTTGCAATAAATAAACGAGCCAACGAGCAGGAGAGGAAAACGAATGCCAGTCTGTGCCCGTGCCTGTGCCGGTTCCTGTGCGCGAGTGTTTGTCAAATAGTGGGCATGAATGGCTTTGGAAATGTATGTGGATGTGGCTGTGGCTGTGGATGTTGCAGAAGTCGAGGCCCAGGCCGCTGCCACTGCCGCTGCTGCTGCTTGTAATCCACTTTACAAAACCGACGACCGGACGTGGTTCTCGTTGGCGTCGTCGTCATCGTCGTCGAGACCCGGGCAGGGTCTCTTTCCCGCCAACTAGGACAGCTGCCCGACTGCCACGAGTGCTCGTACTTATGCCATCGATAAAGTGTTATCGTCGAGGTTCGACGAAAGTCGAAAGTCACCTGCCGAACACGATGATTTGTGGGCTGGTGGCTGTCTGTCTCTGTGTGGGCCGCTGCCGCCAGTGACAGCGAAGAGTGTTCCAGGGGGTTATCGATACTCCAGAAGAAAGCCAACGAATTTGATCTTTGCATTGGCAAACACACAAAGCTCACGGGAAACCCAGCCCCCGCACATCTTTGTCTATGGCAGAGTAAATTTATTGCATGATCAGAGCCGCGAACAGGCGATATTTGTGAAGAAAATCTCCCACCGATGCCTGTGTTCCGCGCTCTCAAGTGTATTCCCGAGCAAGTCCCGACGATATCTCCAAATGACTTCCTGTGGCAGCCCTTCCTTCCTGGATACCTCAATAAATATGTGCATAAATATGTACTTGTCTCCGATCCATCTCGGACACGCACCAATGTTCCACGGACTGCGGAAATGTGGCTTAGAAGCAAATTAATTGTGCAATTTCTCAGGCATAAACTGTGGCCAAAACGAGAGACGACAGAGCCTGCTGGCCTATGGAGACGCCTAATGGCTGTCGAGTCCAATGCACTGCGCAGACGAGATCTGTCAGATCTCTCTTTTGTGCTGCAACAATAGGGGGGAAGAGTGGAAATTCTCGTGGCAGGCCATGCAACTAAATCTAAATTGCTAAATTATGCGGAGTGCCAGAGAGTACCAGCAGCTAGGGACGACTCTCTTTTCCCCGCCGTACGCATGCGCATGCGCGGCGGCGGCACAGTTTTCTGTTGTTTTTCGCGACTCGCGTTGCGGTCGGGTCTGCGCTAAATTGATTTGAATTTGAATTTTCCCTCGTGTGACCTCCCCTCCCCGCTCCATCCCCTTCCTCTTGGATGACTGGCTGGCTGTGGTTTGCCGGTTTGCCCCCTCAATGGATCCAAGTGGTTTCCATGTGGGCGGTTTATTTCTGCTAAATTGGCAAACCGCGCTCGGTGCTGCCGCTGCCGCTGCCGCCGCTGTCCCGTGTGTGGATCGTATGTGTGGGCGATATCTGCGTGTCTGCGTCTGCGTCTGCGTCTGCCTCCTTCTGGCTGTCCGTCCGTCTGTGGCACTTGTTTTCCTTTATGTAATTTCTTTGCAAATGATTTTCTTAATACCCAACTTGGACGTAATTCAATTTGCGGTTTCTCTCCAATGTTTTCCACGAAACTCCAGTCCCAAGGGAATGAATGCCTCCGCCGTTGATGGAATGTGAAATTATGTGCCGCAGAATGATGGTTAGCCGCGAATTCGTAATTTGTAAGTGTACTTAAGTAGTAAATTGGTGAGAGGAATGCTGTAGAAATGTTCTCAGGAATCGCACAGACGAAACGGCAGTCCGATCGAAGGGAAACGATAGATCCACGAAAGGTTCAATGTATAGGAACAAGTTCTGATGGCAATCCTTTTGTCAATATATTCTCTCTAAGTCTGAGATGCGGAAGGGGGTCCAAGCCTATGTATCTGCTGGGATAATGCCATGATAATTATCAAAGCCGTGAAGCTTGAGCTTGCAGGCCCTTTATCTACCCGTGATATCCGCGAATGGAATGGTTGACGGAATCTATCAGAAACTGGTTTCTGATTTGATGTGCCATTAAAACAAATATGGCCAAAACAAAACAAAAGCCAACGTGTGTTGCCCGCTCTTGTTCTTCTGCTTCTGCGAACAGCCGGTCATTAAGCAAAACCGAAGATACGGAAAAAAGCGAGACGGAACGTGTAAAAAAGTGTCAAACTAGAGTTGTAATAAAAAAAACCCGCGATTTAACAAAATGAAGCATAAAATGAATATCTTTTGTTGCCTAAATAAACTCGTAGGCAGAACAATAGCTGGCTGTTGGACGGGCTGGGTCAGGGCTATTCTAGACAGTGGATTGTACTATCTGATAGCTCAGGGTCAATGGGAGAAACGCCTGACCCCGCCAAAAGCAGGGAAAGGGCGAACTAGCGAAAGAGCGAAAGGGGGCACACCCGCAGACCCACTGCCATTGAAAAGTGCGTATTCATTACAATTGATTGACAGACATGGACTGGACTGGCCCGGCCTGGACTGGACACAGACGCAAATCAATTCATGCTTGAAGTGCACACCCAACGGACCATGGACCATTTACCAGTCACCACCGAGCACTGACCACCGACCACCGACCACAAAAACCACCAGAGTGAGGCTCCACCACAATCGACAGCTTTTGGCAGCCCCAAATCAGATTTCAGCAAATGGTTGTCCAGTGACATGGAACATTTTCCACCTTCCGCGGCGATTCCGTCGATTCCAGTGATTTTTCATTGTTTTCCATCGACTTTGGACTTTGGCCTTTTGTTTTGTTTATATTTAATTGCTTTTTAACATATTTCTCATATTGTTTTTTCATAGCTGATCGTTTCTTATTTAAGGGCCTTTGTTGTGGCTCAAACATTTTCAAGTTCAATGCGTGGGGTGCAAAAGTTTTGTGGTGCCTTCGAAGCTTTTGCGTGGGTCATGGTTGGGCCCCTCTCGCCTGGTCGGGGGAAATCGTGGATCGCGGCATGAGTCACCTTTCCTACGATGGTCGGAAGTGTACGGATCAGCAGAGGTGGTAATTACACATTCCTGGGATGGATCTGCAATTTGCATTATTCATTGGAGCTCACAAAGAGGAATTCTGACTCACCCATGGATCACCTTTATTTATGGGCAAATTTAGTGCAAAACAAAACAAAATGCATGTCGCGTACATGATTGATTTTTCTACTTTATTTAGGGGCTAAACAGTATTCCATTAGA